TTGAAATCTATTCATCTGTTAACATGGAGGAGCACATGTTCAGAAGAAAATATCATTTCCATAATCTTGTTGAACTTGAGACAGTATGTACATTTCAATTTTTGCATGAAAAAAGAAATGCATTGCTAATCTGTAGATTGATGAATTATGTGTTATGATTAGCAATAAAGTTTAATACAATGTGTTGAGGAGAGTTGGTCTGTCTTTATTGCACCCTTACTGGCTGAATGGATGTGACGCGAGTGTAAAATGTTGTTTGATTCCACTGTCAGCAGTGTGTCTTGGCAGTGGGGACCGAACAAACCAGTGACTGTGCTTGCTCCCCAGTGAAGATCCCGGTTAGAATTGGTCTCCAGCAACCCATGGAATGGTCTTCAAATTGCCCTCTGAACAGCCCCATTACTTGATATTTCAAGTCCAAACTTAAAACATTTTTGTTTGATAACTCATTCATTTAACTCTTTTTTACATATGTGCCTTGTCAGGGCTTTGAGCATGCTTTTTGTGTGGAAGTTATGACATTATAAGAATGATTATTATTATTTTATTTATTTATTTGTTTAACGCTTGTGGTAATAAGCGACTAACAGGTGGTTGATGCATGTCATCGTATCCCAACTGCGTACATCAATATTCATGATGTAAATAATTGTCTTGTCGAGACTCCATTATTTACAGATTGCCGTCATAGCTGGAATATTGCTGAGTGCAATGTTTGACAACCCCAAAACCAAGCAACACAAGCACAATGTGTAAATAAATGTCAGACATATCTACAGGGATAGGATAGCAAAGATGCCCCTGCAGATTCAGATGAGGATGCATCAAGTGATGAAGAATCAGACGGAGGAAGACAATATCCCATACTGGCCCGGAAAAAAGGGAGGAGAACCACAATGCACAACCTGGTAGCCTCAAAGCATGATCTTCACATGCTTGAAACCCGTGAAGATTCTGGAGTAAAATAGGTCTTCAGCAACCCATGCTTGCCGTAAAAGGTGACTAGCAGGATCGGGTGGTCAGGCTTGCTGACTTGGTTGATGCATGTCATCGATCCCAATTGCGTGGATCGATGCTCATTATATCAATCACTGGATTGTCTGGTCCAGACTCGATTATTTTACAGACCGCCGTCATATAGCTGGAATATTGCTGAGTGCGGCGTTAAACAACAAACCAATCACATGCTTGAGGCTTTATAGGATATCCGGAGTCCATAGATTCAGATCCATCCTGAGACAGACCCCATGCTCCAGATGGAAGCTACAGAAAGTCCAGAGCATGCAGCATCAGCCCTGGGTTATATGAGATAGCTTCTCATGATACATAACATGATGGATCTCTCCAGGGGGGCAGTCCAGTCTCCAGGCTCCAGGCTCCAGTCTCCAGTTCTGAAAATATTTTAGCTACAAGACCCATCGTAAGGTCCCGACTATTGGTTCAGCATTTGATTATGAATCGCTATAAAATAGTGATGATACCAAGTGAGCCCGAAAAGGTGGCACTGGTCACGAACACATGCAAAGGCGAGTCAAGTGTTAACGAGAACAAACAGAGGACCTCAAGGTGGGGAATTGCATCAGACATCATTTTGGTCACTGATGCATCAGATTTGGCAGTGTCCACCAGATGTCTATCATAAATCTTTTTGAATTTTGTGACCCTGATCAAACAACTTTTGAGCAAGAGTCCTAATACACTCTGAAATCTACGAAGAAAGAACATGCACCATTGTGAAACGTAGACACCAAAGCCTGGAGCTGTTTGAGTCTTGCTTGACAAAAAGTGAAAGTTTACTATTGGCATTCCTCTTGTTATACAGTCGTGTTGACAGTTTTGTCACTGTGAATCGTTATGAATAGATCTAAATATGAAAGAAAGGAAATCATCCTCTATATCTCCAGGGCTCCCAGGGGCGGTCAGGTAGCGTAGTGGTTAAAGTGTTTGCTCATCACACCGAAAAACGGGGTTCGATTCCCGACATGGGTACAATGTGTGAAGCCCATTTCTGGTGTCCCCCTCCGTGATATTGCTGATATATTGCTTAAAGCGGCGTAAAACCACACTCACTCACTCCAGGGCTCCCATTTCAGTAAACCACCAACACTAACACCAGGATCCATTCCCATGGTTCTCCGATCTCAAATTACCCGGCCTTGATTTTCCTTAGTCAATTTGATTTGCTACGCTACTCAGTTTTAATAGACCAATAAGAATGCGAGTTACAAACCAGCCTAGTAATGTTGGTGTTGCAATATCAACAACATGGCGGCCATTCCCATTGATTACCATAGAGTTTTGCAGAAATTTATCATTGAAAATCCTTGGAAGAGGTTAAAGCATTGGACAGTCACGCCGATGACCCTGGGTCGAATACCTCTGATGTGCGCATTTTGGTAACGCGGCGGCGTTAATCAGTCACTTAATTTTTGTATTAAGTGTTTTCAAATGATTGCGTTTATTAGGTATAACTCTGCTTTAAACAGTATTCCAGTTATATCAATGCATGTGGGAAGGACGGAAGTGATGCAGGTATCAAACATTTTTCACTTTTGTGAAACCCACGAGCACGGGTATGGTACCTAGAAACATAATCTGGACGAACAGGGATTCGAACCCACAATCATAGGTGTCCAAGGGACTGCCCAGTGAATTACGGCGCCTAAAACCCCGTTGTTCACATGCACAATATTTACTCACGTAAGTCATTTTACAAATGTGTAGCTATACAAACGTGTGTATATGTAAATATAATATGCGTTCACATGAAAATCAACTTAGGTGTGTAAATAAAGTATGTAAATGGTCTAATGCACACATATTCGTCAGTCTGTTTACGACTTTTAACACAAAACAGGTTGTTTTCCAATCAAAGTTGAATGAGAAGAGAGTTACTTTACCGAAAATTTTCGCGTGAAACAGAATGTGTTTGATTTAATTTGTACACAAAGTTTTGACTCCTTGAAACCAAAACAGAAAACCGTCCTCCCAACTCTGTACATACGCATAAAAGTTGGCAACCTCACAATACAGAACTGTTGTTAATTTGTTTGGTGTTGGCAAATCAACAAAATTTAATATATACTCACCGACAGCAGAAACGCGAGTACTAGACATGTTGGTTTATATATGAAGAATTACTCATATTCAAGAAATATTAGATTGGTTAGACGGACAAACGAACATACTGGTATGCTGTGTGAACCGACGCTCATGAACGCATCACAAGTGACGTCACATATCCATTATTCGCGATGCATCATTTATCTAGAGCAGGATTAGCAAGTAAAGTTTGGAAACACGTGCATCATATCCTGATAAAAATAAAGACACTGTGGTAACACTTGACTGATTGTTAGTTTTGTCTTTAAGTGGTACACATTAGAAACATCTCTTCTTAACGTATATCCTTCTCTATATGTTTGTGGCCCGTGAAGATCCTGGTAGAATAGGTGTTGTTTAACGCCGCACTCAGCAATATTCCAGCTATATGGCGGCGGTCTGTAAATAATCGAGTATGGACCAGACAATCCAGTGACTGACATCATGAGCATCGATCCACGCAATTGGGATACGATGACCAAGTCACCGAATCTGACCACCCGATCCCATTAGTCGCCCACAACGACAAGGATAGTAGTTGCCTTTTAACGGGGTATTAGACGACTGGGCCACCCGTGCCCCTAGTGTTTGAGAAGTGAAGTGTGTTATTTTATGAAAGATACAAATACTAGACCTATTTCTGTCACTGAGGTCAGTTGGGGATGGGGCACTTTAGGAATGATATTTGCTCTACCTTCCTGTGTAGTGTTGAATAGACGATTGTGGTTGAAGCACGAGGACACTTCAGTAAAATCAAAGGATTAATATGATTTAAAAAATAACCATTTAAAGTAGCTTCCCCCCCCCCCCCCCCCCCCCCCCCCCCAATCCTCACTGTAACTGGCTCTCTATGGGGACCTTTCTGACTCGGAATCACCACGGAGACATTTGAATAGTGAGTGAGTATGGTTTTACGCCACTTTTAGCACTATTTCAGCATGACAGGGGACACTAGAACTGGGCTAGACACATTGTTCCCATATGGGAATTCATATAGGGGCCTTAGGCTTCACGGCGAACGCATTAACCGCTAGGCTTGCCTGCCACCAACATTAAGATATATGCTTTTATATTTAATGAACTTGAAACGGCCGTTGCTAAGTGAACTGGAATTGCCTTCATTTTTTTCAATTTGGTATTCGGCGAAAACCATCAATTTTGTTTAACGTTTACAATCAATTATTCATCCCTTTTTATAGCAAAAAAACCTAATTGAATATCGAATTTCCACCATGCCAAGTATATGTTTCGTTTTATCTTATCTAATGCTGATAATTCCGATTAGGAGAATGTGTTCTACATACCTGACCCAAACTGGGTGCGACCTATAGATCTAAGTGAACGACATAAGCTCATCGGTCGTTTAGTTCTTGAATCAAAAGTAGTTTTTATCACGGCAGGTTATTTTAGTTAGTGAGTGAGTGAGTATGGGTTTACGCCGCTTTTAGCAATACTCCAGCAATATCACGGTTCGGGACACGAGAAATGTGTTTTCACACATTGTGCCATGGGATTCGAACACGGGCCTTTGGCATGTCGAACGAACGCTTAACCACAAGACTGAGTGGAGTGTGGGTGGTTTGATTCCCGGCCGAGTATGTCAAGATACGTTTAAAGATGGTACTTGATGTTGCCCTGTCTGGCGCTCGGCATTAAGGGGCTAAAACAAGGACTGGTCGGCCCGGAGTCAGTATACTGTGTCTGAGCCTGAGTCTCAGTGTACTAGCACTATAAATCGGCATCAGTCCGGGCTAGTACAAGCAGCCACACAAACACGCACACGCACACGCACACGCACACGCACGCACACGCACACACGCGCACTCACGCCCAATAATCTTGGACCCGACATTAAACCCCATTTCACCTCACCTGTGGCAGTGAACGCTGACACCTAATTAGGAAGACAATGATCTTTTATTTCATTTGAAGAAAGACCTGGTGACATGATATCCAGGTTCAGGCAGATTTTAGCTTCATCTCGATGGGATAATGGTCGCTGACGCTATAGGCCTGAAATAGGACATTTCGGTGAGTGAGTGAGCGAGTCCGGTTTTAGGCCGATTGTAGCGGCGGGGGGCACTAGATAGAGAACCTGGGCCTTCGGTATGACGAGCGAACGCTTTAGCCACCCCCTGATTTAGTTATGGTCATGGTTTGAAAACATATAATTTCTTTTTCACAAAGGAGAATCCAAAGAAGTATTTTTACCCAAAGACATTATTTGATGATAATTTTGGGGGGACATATTATTACACTCAGCGTCACTATGTCTTTTTTTCTTCTTTTTTTTTGTTTAACGCCGCACTCAGCAATATTCCAGCTATATGACGGCGGTCTGTAAAATAATCGAGTCTGGACCAGACAATCCAGTGATGGACATCATGAGCATCGATCTACGCAATTGGGATCGATGACATGTATCAACCAAGTCAGCGAGCCTGACCACCCGATCCCGTTAGTTTTTATGACAAGCATAGTCGCCTTTTACGGCAAGTATGGGTTGCTGAAGACCTATTCTACCCCGGAATCTTCACGTGTCGTCCATTTTCCCAGTTTTATAAAAGCCATCAAACAGTGTGACATGTGCATAAACAACAGGTTCTTCAACTGTTAATCACATTGTCAACATACTCGGACTTATTGACACTTGTTGGCATACGTTCATGTTTGACACCCCACATGCATACACCCGTGAAGATCCGGGTCCGAATAGGTCTTCAGCAACCCATGCTTGCCGTAAGAGGGATCGGGTGGTCAGGCTCGCTGACTTGGTTGATGCATGTATCACAATTGCGTGGATCGATGCTCATAATGTCAGTCACTGGATTGTCTGGTCTTGGCTCGATTATTTACAGACCGCCTTCAAATAGCTGGACTATTGCTGAGTGCGGCGTTAAACAACAAACAAACAAAACCTAGGTGACCCTTTCATAATGACTCTGAGTATATGGTCCAATTAATCCAGAATCTCACATTGCGGGTCCTAACTGCAGTATATCGTTTATTACCTGTGTAAAAGTAAGATGGAGGGCGGTCTCAAAGTTGTACACGGTGGCACTGCCTGGCACGACGGCGGCCTGGAACTCCGCCCCGGCTACCACGAACCTGGACAGAATACACTCACTCACTCAACCACAAATCACCACAGGAACTCATTCAATATTTGAAAATATACCTTTCTGCCACGATACTTAATGTACCAACAATTGTCCTGACGTACCTACCATACATGATGCACGTAGCACAGGGAATGGAAATGCATTCTCTCAGCTGCGGTACCGTTAATTCCACTTATCTATTTATAGGAAGACAAAGGGGGTATGGCGAGGTATGCATATTAAAGATAAATCCAACTTCCCTATTTCCTCACATATGTACCGTTGGTGTACTGCCATCTTACGAGGCAAGGGAGTTAACTGACTGTAAAAGACCAGTTTCCACACTTGCCGAACCTGGCTGGAATTACGGAGCTATATTTTGGCTAACGAGTCTATGCATAGTCCAATCAAATCGCGTCACGAAATCGACATCCGGTTCGTAAACTGCTGTGCAGATTTCGGTCGATTGCTGTATTTGCCAATTATGTGCACCGACAACTTAGTGTCAACAGATATTTCCCAAATCTTTTCATGTCTTTTATCAAGGTGCTCACGTGATTTGCTGCACTTCGCGAAGTAAGACCCATTTTTTTACATTATAGATCTTGATTATTGATCAGATTGTCTTGACTGGGCGACGCCATTTCATTTGAAGCAAATGCAAGTGATATGGAAAGTGAAATCTGATTGGTCAATAGGAGGAACAGACGGGACATAACTCGTAATAGCCACTTGCCACTGGCGGCGCTACGATCACGCCCAGAATTGTTCGGCAAGGGTGGAAACTGGACTTTTACAGTCAGTCAACTCCATTGCCTTGGGAAGATGGTTTGCTGCCTATCTAAAAAAAGCACAGTTGGTGTACCGCCTACCTATCATAAGCACAGTTAGTGTACCACCTACCTATCATAAGTACAGTTAGTGTACCTATCATAAGCACAGTTGGTGTACTACCTACCTATCACAAGCACAGTTGTGTACCGCCTACCTATCATAAGCACAGTTGGTGTACCGCCTACCTATCATAAGTACAGTTGGTGTAACGCCTACCTATCATAAGCACAGTTAGTGTACCACCTACCTATCATAAGTACAGTTAGTGTACCTATCATAAGCACAGTTGGTGTACTACCTACCTATCACAAGCACAGTTGTGTACCGCCTACCTATCATAAGCACAGTTGGTGTACCGCCTACCTATCATAAGCACAGTTGGTGTACCGCCTACCTATCATAAGCACAGTTGGTGTACCGCCTACCTATCACAAGCACAGTTGGTGTACCGCCTACCTATCATAAGCACAGTTGGTGTACCGCCTACCTATCATAAGCACAGTTGGTGTACCGCCTACCTATCATAAGCACAGTTAGTGTACCACCTACGTATCATAAGCACAGTTGGTGTACCGCCTTCCTATCATAAGCATAGTTGGTGTACCGCCTACCTATCATAAGCACAGTTGGTGTACCGCCTACCTATCATAAGCACAGTTGGTGTACCGCCTACCTATCATAAGCACAGTTGGTGTACCGCCTACCTATCATAAGCACAGTTAGTGTACCACCTACGTATCATAAGCACAGTTGGTGTACCGCCTACCTATCATAAGCACAGTTAGTGTACCACCTACCTATCATAAGTACAGTTAGTGTACCTATCATAAGCACAGTTGGTGTACTACCTCCCTATCATAAGCACAGTGGTGTACCGCCTACCTATCATAAGCACAGTTGGTGTACCGCCTACCTATCATACGCACAGTTGGTGTACCGCCTACCTATCATAAGTACAGTTGGTGTACCGCCTACCTATCATAAGCACAGTTGGTGTACCGCCTACCTATCACAAGCACAGTTGGTGTACCGCCTACCTATCATAAGCACAGTTGGTGTACCGCCTACCTATCATAAGCACAGTTGGTGTACCGCCTACCTATCATAAGCACAGTTAGTGTACCACCTACGTATCATAAGCACAGTTGGTGTACCGCCTACCTATCATAAGCATAGTTGGTGTACCGCCTACCTATCATAAGCACAGTTGGTGTACCGCCTACCTATCATAAGCACAGTTGGTGTACCGCCTACCTATCATAAGCACAGTTAGTGTACCACCTACGTATCATAAGCACAGTTGGTGTACCGCCTACCTATCATAAGCACAGTTAGTGTACCACCTACCTATCATAAGTACAGTTAGTGTACCTATCATAAGCACAGTTGGTGTACTACCTCCCTATCATAAGCACAGTGGTGTACCGCCTACCTATCATAAGCACAGTTGGTGTACCGCCTACCTATCATACGCACAGTTGGTGTACCGCCTACCTATCATAAGTACAGTTGGTGTACCGCCTACCTATCATAAGCACAGTTGGTGTACCACCTACCTATCATAAGCACAGTTGGTGTGGTGGCTGGCGGTAGTGTCCACACTACTCGACAGCAGCCACTGGAACCTGTGGTCCTGGTAGAGAGGGCTTTGCAGCAGGGCCGACGTTGACAAGTAGCTGCAGTCGGCGTTGAAGTCGCCGTCGAACATCACATTCTGGTAACAAAAAGTGTACATCTGTTAACCTTCTCCGCATAAAGTACTTCATCTCAATTGTGGTCATCCATCCATTGTTACTATCCGATCCTCATTTCACCATGACCACTCGCCATAGCCTTGTGGTTTAAGCGTTAACTCGTGACCCGAGGGCCAAGATTCGATTCCCCACATTGGTACGCGTGATGCCCATTTCCGATGTCATCTGTCCTGATATTGCTGGAACATTGCTAAAAGCGGGCAAATCAACAATCAATCATCTATCAGGACGTCCTATCAGTCCCAGATATTACAAACAATCTCATTAAAATCAGATCTTAGTTCTCGCTACCCTCACCCTTACCCTTAGCGGTAGCGAGAACTAAGATCTGATCTTAATGAGATTGGACATTACAAACAGTCATAGTTATCCGACTCGGGTTTACTCGGATTTCCAGGCTTGAAACTCCGCTCCCGAGAGAAAGCACATCTTCCCGGGGCAACGGCGTTAATTGGACTTTTATAGTCAGTTGACGCCCTTGCCTCGGGAGGATGGAGTAAGCAGTGTAGCTGACCTTGTTGTTGTAGTGGTTGGAGATGTCGGTGTAGACGTCCACCAGGTGGCCGATCTCGGGCTTTGCCTGGTCTGGCTTCAGATGACATGCAGCGATCACAAAGTCAGAGAGTTCTGGTGAGGAATGTACGGAAACCCATGAGAGCCATACCCTTGAATTTGAATTTGATACTATATTTTGTGGCCCTTATGGGTTCCCGAAGACACTGTTGCAAGTTAAGAACTTGGATTTTCAAGATAACCTTTTTTTTTTAATTTTTCGGCTCTATAGGGCTTCCGTAGGAAAGAGTGATAGAGTGAGTGAGCTGGGTTGAACGCCGGGTGTGACAGTTTAATGTCGGAGGTCCCCCATGAAGATCCCGGTTAGAATTGGCCTTCAGCAACCTGTGTAAGAGGTGACTAACTGGATAGGGTGGTCAGGCTCGCTGACTTGGTTGATGCATGTCATCGTATCCCAATTGCGTGCATCGATGCTCATGATGTCAAGCACTGGAATGTCTGGTCCAGACTTGATTATTTACAGACCGCCGTCATGTAACTGAAATATTGCTGGATCTGGCGTTAAACGACAAACAAACATAATGTCGTTCGCAGACATTTGCTATTGTGACTACCGCCCCCATGGTCTAGTCGATAGCCGGAGCGTCTGCCCAGTGAGCGGAAGGTTGGGGGTTCGATCCCCGACCGCGTCATACCAAAAGACGTAAAAAGATGGTACTTGTTGCTACCCTGCCTCGCGTTCGGAATTAAGGGGCTAAAACAAGGACTGGATGGCTCGGAGTCAGTATCCTGTGTCTGAGTGGGGTATTCATGTTAAACTGCAGCATGGTATCTCAGTGGGCTAGCACTATAAAATCGTCCGGACTAGTACAAGCACCCACACACCCACACAGCCACATACACTTGCATGCATGTCGCTATATAAATGCAATAATCTGGAGCGCGACGTTGGACCCCATTTCACGTCACCTACTATTGTGACACATCACACAAACAATGGGTTATGCGCTGACGTATCATGGATTGTAACCGCTGCGAACAGCTCTGAGGGACGTAAATCTGCACAGTACATTGAGGCATCTACTTTAGACCAATGGACTACCAGTGTACCTTGAGAAGACTAAACAGTTTACAGCTTGAACGTAGGGGACCAGATCGCTCATTCGCCAGCTCACTCCTTTTGCGACACCATATTTTTTTCAGTTGTTTCTTTTTTCTATGTTTGTTTGTTTGTTTGTTTGTTTAAAGCCGCACTCAGTGATATGCAAGCTTTATGACATCTGCTGGGTCCGACCGATTGAAGCTAAAAACTCGATCATTTGATGATATAACAACAGTTAACTTTTAAGAGGATAATTAATCAAAAGTGTTTCCGGACATTTCAAGCCAATTTTTCTGACAAAAGTTCAACAAATGTATATCTTTTCCTTTTTCCGATCTACTAAAGGTAAAATAAAAGCAAATAAATTAAAAGCAGTGTGACTAAACGTTTAGAAGAAAACGCTTACGTGACGACGGCGCGTGGAACAACGCAGAAAACGGTTCCCTCTCGAACCAGTCGTGCACATCGTGGTACTGATAGGACCCTCGCACCTGAACCCTGTCTGTCCTGGAGGAGAATGACATACAACAATAATCACAGTTCCATGACCAGCAGCAACACGAGCTGAACCCTGTCTGTCCTGGTGGAGAATGGCATACAACAATAATCACAGTTCCATGACTAGCAGCAACACGAGCTGAACCCTGTCTGTCCTGGTGGAGAATGGCATACAACAATAATCACAGTTCCATGACCAGCAGCAACACGAGCTGAACCCTGTCTGTCCTGGTGGAGAATGGCATACAACAATAATCACAGTTCCATGACTAGCAGCAACACGAGCTGAACCCTGTCTGTCCTGGTGGAGAATGGCATACAACAATAATCACAGTTCCATGACCAGCAGCAACACGAGCTGAACCCTGTCTGTCCTGGTGGAGAATGGCATACAACAATAATCACAGTTCCATGACCAGCAGCAACACGAGCTGAACCCTGTCTGTCCTGGTGAAGAATGGCATACAACAATAATCACAGTTCCATGACTAGCAGCAACACGAGCTGAACCCTGTCTGTCCTGGTGGAGAATGGCATACAACAATAATCACAGTTCCATGACTAGCAGCAACACGAGCTGAAGACAGACTCTGTCAAAATGTTACTTATATTGTGTTGATATCATTCAAATCATAATTATCTAATTATCTGCCCTGCATATTCGCCTCTCGCCTTCAGTGCATACGTAACCGTATCCCTGTGCTGTAATTTTGATATTGGCTTGTCTCTTTACACAGAGCTGCGGGCTGTTCCATAGTGTTTTCCCAATACATTCCCGATTTGGAACATACCTGCCATATTGCACATGAATCGCAATGCCACGAAAATTGCTACGAGATCCGCTGCCTAAAACACTTGCCTTTAAATACACATGTATGCGCACATGTATTTTAGATCATGCAACTTTGTATGCACTTACCGGTTGGAATCATCGAGAGGGTACAGATTTTTGGCCGCCATCGCTGAGCGCAATGGGGATAAAACAAAAACTACGGGTCCAGTTTACAAATCGATAAGTAAATATGTTGTTATACTATCCCAAACACATCTTCCCGAGGCAAGGGCGTTAACAGACTATAAACGACCAGTTTCCACCCTTGCCGAACTAGGCTGGAGCTCTGGAGTTACATTTTGGTTGGACTAACGAGTCTGTTCATTGTCCAATCAAAATCGCGTAACGAAGAAGACATCCGGTTCGTAAACAACCCGGAATTTTACGTGCAGATTTCGGTCGACTGCAGGATTTGCAAAGCATGTGTACCGCCAACTTGGCGTCGACAGATATTGTGTAAATTGTTTCATGTTTTTAATCAAGGTGCTCAAGTATTTTGATGCACTTCGCGGTGAAAGACCGATTTTATTACATCATAGATCTTGGTTATCGATCAGAACGTCTTGACTGAGCGCCTCCATTTTGTTTGAAGCAATTGCAAGTGATATGGGAGATGGAATCTAACTGATCGATAGGAGGGACATAACCCGTAATATCTACTAGTGGCGCTACGATCGAGCCCAGAAATTCCAGCCTAGTTCGTCAAGGGTGGAAAAGGGACGTTTATAGTCAGTTAACGCCCTTGCCTCGGGAAGATGTCCGTGGTTCGAGAGAGGTTAGAAGCATTCACAACGTACAACATATTATACTCTCTATTGAAATAGCGGAGTTCAAGTGAACGAAGTTTTAATGTTTTAACAAAATATTGTTTTATTTCAAGTCTGACCTGTACATACAAACAATAAAATGAACCAAACATTGACAGTTCTTACCTGTAGACGAAGGCATAATATTCCTTGTAGGATGTTCTCCCAGTCTTCGCGCTCTTTATCATGGCATATGGCCCACCTCCGTGACTGAACACAAGACACATAATACATGCATTACAAGAGACACATGGGATTTGTACGTGAGTACGGTTTTACGTTGATATCAGTAATATTCCAGCAATATCGCGACGGGGACACGAGGAAGGGGATTTACACATTGTACCCATGTGGAGAATAGAACCCAGACCTCCGGTGCAACGAGCGAACGCTTTAACCATTGAGCTACACCACCGCGCCGTGTATGTAGTGAGTTATCAATCATAAAGCTGGAATAATGTGGAAAATAGAACCCAGACTTCCCGCGCAACGAGCGAACGCTACACCACCGCGCCATGTATGGAGTGTGTTATCAATCATACAGCTGGAATATTGCTGAGTGCGGCGTTAAACTACAAACAAGTAACTCAACCTGGCAAATTTAAATGATGCATGTTTTTAACACAAGCAATAACTTGGGCTTAGATTGTCGATTTAAGGAAAGATTTATTGAACCACATGCAGTAAATCCCGGAATGGAAGACTACAAAATGTTCCCTTGTCGATTTAAAATTAATGCATACCTATATATTCGGGTGTTGGTGACGTTTTGACTAGGTTAAGAATCATGAAGATAAAATTTATGTCGTTTGCGCAAACATGAGCCAATACCTGTTCATTGACTTAACGACGTCAGCGAGACCGTATGCGTCCATGACTTCCTCCACACTGATGATGTCATAGCGACGCAATATCTGAAAAAACAGACGTAAACTGTACTAACTTGGACGCTTCAAAAACCTTCGAAATTCACTTTTTCATTGACCACCTTCCTGTTTAGCATGCCTTTATCAGGCACGCCATTGTTCTTTAACGGCAATTCCATTTATATGTATTAATATAATGATATAATTGTTGCTCTACTGAACAATTGTGTGCGTGAATGATGGTATACTGACGTTGACGATGGTGTTTATGTATGAAAATACATACACCGCGGTCTAGTGGATAAAGTGTCTGCCCGAAGACCGGAAGGTCGGTAGTTCGATCCTTGGCCGCGTCATATCAAAAGACGTTAAAAGATGGTACTTGCTGTTACCCTGTCTAGCGCTCGGCATTAGGGGGCTAAAACAAGAACTGGTCGGCCCCGAGTCAGAATACTGTGTGTGAGTGGGGTATTCATGTTAAACTGCGGCATGGTGTCTCTATGGGCTAGCACTATGAAACCGGCATTAGTCCGGACTAGTACAAGCAGCTACAACCACGTGCATGCACGTCGCTTTATTAATGCAATAATTTTAAACGCGACGTTAAACCCGATATTACCTCCCCTAAATATAGATTATATTTGTTATTTGCGGTTTTCACTTTTCAAATGACGGTGTCCGCGTCCTTACCGTGACCAGACTCTGCAACCTGCCTGCGTGGCTATTCAGGGTATTTTCACTGAGCCTCTTGATGTTGAAGGCGGCGATGTTGAGAGCTTCAGCCACCGACAGCACCATCAGCGCACACACGACGACCTTCATGACTGAATACAACACATTTTCTTCAATGAATATTGGGTGGTGAAGTAAGCAAGGGGCTTCAGTCAGGGTACAGTCGTCATGGCAAGGCCCGGGTTCGATTCCCCACATGGGTACAATGTGTGAAGTCCATTTCCAGTAAATAGCAAGAATATTGCTTAACGCGGCATGAAACAAGATTCACTTAAGTGAGTATACAAGCGCGCATGTGTTTAATCATGGAGAGGTATCGTAGCCTGGTAGTTAAAGCGTTCGCTCGTCAAGCGAGATAACCGGGTTCGATTCCCTACAGGGATGGCGCCATTTGTGGTATACTCTGCCGTGACGTTGCTGAAAGATTGCTAAAAAATACTAAAACTTTCTCGTTCTAAGATTGAACTCGGCTATAATCTGGAACACGGGTTGGTTGGGTCTTCCAAGTTTGTATAAAACTTGACCGCCTCAGTGGTCAAGTGGATAGAGTCCAAACCCTGTGGCTCGATCCCCTATCGCGTCATACCACAAAACGTTAAAAGATGGTACTTGTTGTTGCCCTGCCTGGCGTTCAGCATTAAGGAGATTACACAAGGACTACGTACGCGCGCACAGACAGACAGACAGACACACGTTCTTGCACATCGCTAAATGTAAGTGCAATAATCATGAAGGCGACGCTGAACCTAATTTCACCTAACCACGTATTAATTTTATACTCGCTTTACTTTTGAGAGCGGGAGGGATTAACGTGGTTTTCAGCAATGGTCCAGAGCCATCACGGCGAGGGACACCACATAAACGCACCACTTCTTCCATTTTTATATATGTCCCGAACTTCTATGCATCTTTGTAAAAGTCTAAATTTCACAGTGGTCTTTTTTAATAAATATCCACGATACTACCGGCACCGGCTAAAACGTCTGAAAACAAGAACATCATGTTCCTCCAGAGGGTGGCGACCACGGCGCCAGTAGTCAATTTTCGATTTTCAAGGTCAAGGTAACCCTTTTTACTTTTAAAAGTTGCTTGGTTGAATGTGTCATGTCAGAAAACATATTATTAGACACTAAAATCATGACTATCGGACAATGTTAACTGTGTTTGTGAATTTCACCGACTGCCAAAAGTGCGTTGACCTTTTAACGTTTTTGGCCATAGCTCCCCCATTTAAGGTCGGAACTATAACAAACTATATATTTCTAGGTTCCTTATGACTGGACGAATAATTTGATATGCATATCGACACAATTTTGAATTTTGACCCCTGTTTGACCTTTCTTGACCCTTCCCCAAAATGCCCGGGATTTTCAACCGGGCAGCCCAAGTCAAAATTGTTCAGTATACATCAGGAAACTCAAAAACACTTTCAAACCTTTGTTTCCATGATTTGGTCACGGGACCTACAGGTTGGTCTTCTAGTACAGGTCCTATGATACAAACATTGAGCGAGTGAGTATAGTTTTACGCCGCTTTTAGCAACGTTCCAGAAATGGAAGAGCGGAGACACCAGAAATGTACCCATGTGGGGAATCGAACCCGGGTCGGGTGAACGCGTTACCCACTAGGCTGCCCGTCCGCCCTGTGATATAAAGATGTACAGGAAGCATAGAAAGGGTGGTTAAATAATGCCTCGTATATCGCTTCATAACAATTAAAAAGAACCTCATCAGATTATTGTCTTTCTTTCCCTGCATCATTGTGATTTGTAATCAAAGACAATTAAATGTGTTTCGACAGAAAATAAATACAGGATAAAGTCTCAAAAATTGCAGTTCTGTATGAAAAAAAACTGACAGGAAAAAGAAAGTACACACCATGTTTGATGCTGGCTAAAGATGAAGAAAACAAGAAACGGTTAGTCGATGGTGATATGTTTATATGGGTATCACAGTTGTGTTTCGACAATTGTTTCAGCCTAGTAACGGTGTGATAGTTTGTAATATTTTGGTCAAATCCAATTTTCAAGTCTTTACGTCTTTTGCCCGACAGAGTGTGGTGAGGCGTTCGTCCAGGTGTAGAGTACACATGCATGTGGAGAATAGAACTCGGGTCTTCGGCGTGATGGAACATTAACCACAAGACTACCCTATCGCCAATTTTTCAAACTGTGATGCGTTTAAGACATTGGCGTTTTTAGATCAAATGAGCATGAAACGTTGGTCAACCTCTCATAGTTGCGGTGAATATATCTTCCCTCAACATAAATATTTAAATAAATGAAGAAGACATATAACGTGCAAGAGCCCTATCGATAATTGATAGCATTGGCCTGCCTTGAAATGAAATGCCGAGAGAATATTTTCCTGTGGTGTCCCCTTTGGCAAGTGACTTTGTACCAATGTGCCTCTGTTCACTCAGCGGGGAATGGGTACCCGGTAGGTGAGGTGGATGTGAAAACCATCTAGGCAGCATGGGTTGTATATTCCCCAGGGAGTTCAAAATGATAACTGGAATGCATGATCGGGTAACAAATAAAATACCATATCTGAACAGAGGTGTCTGGATAAGTGCAGTAAAATAATGTGTAATATGATATTATGATAATTTTGGTAAACAATATTTTACCTTGTTCTGGCCACACGAATCAGCACCACACACCATCGTGGGTTAAGAGTGGTAATCGTGTACTGCATTATCACATACTGACGTCTTGCACTGAATGATCGTCCTGTCCGAAGTGAGTGAGTGAGTTGGGTTTAACGCCGCTTTGAACAGTATTCCAGTTATATCACGGCGTGTCAACATAATGTGGGACGATAGCCCGAAGTGATGCAGGTCTCGGGCGTTTACCACTTCGGTGAAACCCACGAGCACTGGTATTGTTCTGACTAACCTAGAAACATAATCGGGGCGAACCGAGATTCGAGATCACGAACATAAATTTCTGGCGCGCTCACGGGACGCAACGCTGCACGGCGAATTCCGGCGCCTTAAATAAAATTTTTTTTAAATAATGTGGGCCCACAAAGATTGTTTGACTTCTCCTTTAAGAGCAAAAAATGTATGCCTTGAAACGCAGACTGGAAATAATAATATGGCTTAAAAGATAATCCCAACTCCCCTCCCACAATATTCACTGGTCGATTAAAACAGAATTCTTCTTATTCTGAAAACAAAACCAATAAAAGACTAGGTATGGCACAAACAAATGGAATAATATGGGTCTGTAGAGCAGAGGGTTTCTTTACCTGTGTCGAGGGAACCTTGTTCCAATTGTTTTCGGGTCAAAATTACAAGGCTTGTGTTTTATCTTATCTCGACCTTCCTCAATGGTAGGGGTGTCCTGCGAGACACGTCAGTACCATGTGTGAGGTTTGGTTGACGCGGCACTGAACAATATTTCAGTCATGTCACGGTGTGTCAGCTTGATGTGAGGGGAAAGCCCGAAGTGATGCAGGTCTTAGTGTGAGTGAATTAGTTGAATTTAACGCCGCTTTGAACAGTATTCCATGCAGTAATATCACGATGTGAGGAAAGCCCGAAGTGATGCAGGTCTTAGAGTGAGTGATGGTTCGGTTCTGACAATCCAAGAATTATAATGAGAGTGTATCTGGTATTCGTAACAAAGATCGGATTCTGTCCCTACTAAGGGACGGAACTCATTCCGGCGGCGCGGACGACTGGGTACTGGGTAATCCGTGCTCGTGAAGACAGTAATGATCATCTGTTCCCCAACGGGTTGGGTCGTCCCTGGTTTAATTACCAACTGTAATTAGCCTCTTTATTATTTACACACACGTGATCCAGATGGACTATTCCTTATAGCTGCGAGAGAAAAATAACGGGATAGTTATTTAAAGAATGAACGAATTGAAAGTTAATAAATAAATATGTGTGTATATATATGTGTGTGTGTGTGTGTGTGTGTGTGTGTGTGTGTGTGTGTGTGTGTGTGTGTGTTTATTAAATTTAATAAAAATCTTCTTTATTGTTTGTTTGTTCGTTGTTTAACTGCACTCCGCAACATTCCAGTTAAATGAGGGCAGCCTGTATCTAAATGCGCCTAGATCAGCTGTAATAACCGTAGCTCTCTGCTGCTTCCTATAAACTATGTACTATTTGTCGCTACACAGAGCCACGGGCAGTTCCATAGCGGACCAGACAATCCAGTGATTGATATTACGAAACGCAATCAACCAAGTGCCTGTGCCTGACCACCGGTCCCTCTTGTGGCCAGCAGAGATACCTGGATCCTCAGGGGTACTGATATACATCTGTTTTTGTGAGAACTGTTTAAACCAACAAATACCAACATCGATGCCCAGTATCAATGATGGAACAACATGCTCGCTGCCATGTTATCTGATTTTAGTTCGTTGTCATATTTTAAAAAATATTTAATGTTCAACATGTATTTTTTTAAGTTATTTTATCCAACTGATACGTGGGAGTCTGTAGGTTTTGCACTTTGTGAGTGAGTTGGGTTTAACGCCGCTTTTAACATTATTCCAGTTATATCACGGCGTGTCAGCTTAATGTGCGAGGAAAGCCCTAAGTGATGCAGGTCTCAGATGTTTACCACTTCGGTGAAACCCACGAGCACGGGTATGGCGCCTTAAACGACTGGGCAACCCGTGCCCCCTTGCACTGTGTGAACTATGTAGCATCAGTCGTGAACCCGACATCGGAGATGTGGCCATATTTGTGGTCTTCATTACTCATTCATGAGCTTCCATCAAGAGTATGGCATGTACTCTTCCTATATTTGTAAACTGTCTTGTATTCTATGATAGCAACGAGTGAGTGAGTGAGTGAGTGAGAGCTTAAGCTGCTTTGAACAGCATTTCAGTTATATCAGGCCTGTTAGCTTGAAGCCTGAAGTGATGCAGGTCTCAGACGTTGACCACTTTGGTCAAACCCAAACCAATGGTGCTGACAAACCTAGTATCATAATCAGGCGAACAGGATTCAATCCCACAATCATAGGTTTCTGGCGTGCCCAAGGGATGCAACTCTGCTGAGAAAATTGTAGCACCTTAGACCAAGGTTCGGCACAACCAAAAATGATGAATAAAGAAGGAATAGGCAGGGAACAAGCTTGAGTGAGTGAGGATAGTTTTATGCCGCAGGGACACCAGAAATGAGCTTCTCACATTGTACCCATGTGGAGAATCAAACCCAGGCCTTTGGCATTAAACACTAGGCTATGAGGCAGAAAAGTGAGTGAGTGAGTTGGATTTAACTCTGCTTTTAACAGTATTTAGCTTAATGTGGGAGGAAAGCCCATGTGATGCAGGTCTCAGACGTATAACAGTTTGGTGAAGCCCATGAGCACGGGTATGGTGCTGACAAACCCAGAAACACAATTTGGGAAAATCGGGATTTGAACCCGCTATCATAGCTTTCCAGCATGCCAAAGTGATGCAACGCTCCACAGCTTGAAATTTAAATTAAAGGAATTTCTCCTGTTTTGGGGGCAGTGTATTATGTTATGATGTCCCAATGATTGCTCATGCTTGTTATAAAGACCATCAAATGATGTTTTGGTCATATAGCTGGGTACCCGTGAAGACCCGGGGTAGAATAGGTCTTAAGAAACCCATGCTTGAAGCAAAAGGCGACTATGCTTGTTGTAAGAGGCGACTAACGTCATCGAGTGGTAAGGCTTGCTGACTTGGTTGACGCATAGTATCCCAATTGCATGGATTGATGTTAATCACTGGATTGTCTGGTCCAGACTTGATTATTTACAGACCGCCGTCATGAAGCTGGAATATTGCTAAGTGTAGTGTTAAACAACAAACAAACAAACATATAGCTGGGATACAGCTGGGAGCGGCAATAAAAAACAAACAAGTCATTATTTGCGCCACCAAAGGGTTTGCCTGGCCACAGGCCACTTTGATATCACGGCATTCACTCACTCACTCATTGGACATGTTCTGACCATCTTTCCCCCAAAGAAGAAAAAAACAATATTACAGAAAACATTTTATTCTAGATAAATGTAAAGCACATTTACTAGCAAGATAATAGCTTGATAAGTATCACAGTTGTGTTGAATAGAAGAAAGCTTGCCATCATGGACAGAGGATTAGCCTCACGTCACGTATATCACTGACTTTCTCAAAATAAAACCATGCAGATTAGACTATCACTGGAACTCCTGGAAAATAGAAACAGTTACATTCTTGTCATCTGGATTTCACAGTCCTGCAAATATGTAGCCAAACAATGTTGTGACAAACTTTAATGTATCAAGCTTGTGGTTGTCTCGAAATAAAAGCTTGGTTCTGACGTATTCATTCTTAATTACCGTATTTGACGTAATAAGCGCCCAGGGCGCTCTTAAAATTAGAAATAGGGGGCACTTATTAGAATTTTGGTGAAAAAAAAAACAGAATTGAAAGATTGTAAATTTCGTGGTTTATGCTGACAGCCTGAATGACACAAAAGAAAAGTCTGTGCGTATTATACACGACAAACATATTTTTCCAGAATTGAATTGCCCGTAATTATTGGTGCATATAACACACGAGTGTGTATTATACACGAATAAATAAGTCTTGTGTACATTGATCAATTGGATGAGGTGCCAATTGGGATTGTTCACCAGCCAACATATTAGCAAATATCGCTGTGGGCACTTATTAGAGTGGGGCACTTATTACGTCGAATACGGTAATTATTTTGGGTTGAGTCAAACCTTGGATAACTTAAAGTATTAACGTAGGTCCCTTCAACTTCGACACAACAGAGTTTGACTGTACCACTCAACATTTGTTAAGGACCACACCTTTGACTAAAGATGACTATTTTGGTCCAAACCAAATGCTGAGTAATATATATTGCAGTAAAACTATGGAAAAGTGATGAAAGCAGAAATTAATTAATTAATTCAGTTTATAAAACATTATTCACATGTTCCTTTGTGGACAAAACTGCTGATGAGGTAAAACCCATAAACCCATGTAGGGTGGTGGGAAAGGAAGAATTAATACAATCATGTATAACCTATGTCAACATTTCAACAGTTATTCCAGAATCTGTCTACACAAGCACTTTTGCAACTACTACACACACCTTTAACCAAATATTCTCTGAGTAAAATAATAGGAAGCTTTACACGTGTAAAGTGTGTACATCGAGCTCATAATAACCATCAGCCATGCAGCAAGCGAGTGAGTGAGTTTGATTTTACGCCGCTTTTAGCAATATTCCAGCAATATCACGGCGGGGGACACCAGAAATGGGCTGACACATTGTACCCATGTCAGGAATCGAACCCTGGTCTTCGGCATGACGATGCATCTTAAGGGTCCTGATGGGGCAGTCAGAAGGCAGTCAGATTTAGGGCTTTTAGTCAGAAGGCAGTCAGATTAGGGCTTTTAGTCAGAAGGCAGTCAGATTAGGGCTTTTAGTCTGAAGGCAGTCAGATTAGGGCTTTTAGTCAGAAGGCAGTCAGATTAGGGCTTTTAGTCAGAAGGCAGTCAGATTAGGGCTTTTAGTCTGAAGGCAGTCAGATTAGGCTTTTAGTCAGAAGGCAGTCACATTTAGGGCCTTCAGTCAGAAGGCAGTCAGATTGGGACTTTTGGTCAGAAGGCAGTCAGATTAGGGCTTTTAGTCAGAAGGCAGTCAGATTTGGGCTTTTAGTCAGAAGGCTGTCACATTTAGGGCCTTCAGTCAGAAGGCAGTCAGATTAAGGCCTTTAGCCAGTCATGTCTAGAGCCCTTAGTCAGAAGGCAGTCAGATTTAGAGCCTTTACTCAGTAGACAGTAAGATATAGGGCCTAAATTGATACACATTAAGAATGTGAAAAAGCAGACAAGTGAATTAATGACCCAAGGCAAGATCCCATCTAACTGCTACTGACCACGCCTTTCTGACCCACATGTGGGTGTAGTGTTACTTCTTAAAAAATAATAAAAGCGACAAATCCCAAATAAGTGAATAGTGTAAAACTATTTGTGGAGATAGCACTAAAGCATGTGTCTTTCATTCCCCCAAGCAGCTGTCAGGTCGTGCTGTACTCACATAAGACTACTACATACAATACCTGAGTTGACTTGTACCAGGGACAGTCTAGAGATGTCAAGGATATGTGATCAACAGAACCTAGCTACTCTCTATCGTTTCCATGTTAAGAAAGTGTAACTTCTTTGAGAGGCATTTAGAAGTTGGAGTACTAAGTAAGGATAGATTAATGGTCAACTTCTTTATAACAATTAAGAGCGACGTTTCGGTGTAGGGTCTAGCACCGTTATCAAGCGAGCTTGATAACAGTGTTAGAACCTACACGGTCGGGCTTGATAACGGCGTTAGAACCTACACGGTCGGGCTTGATAACGGTGTTAGAACCTACACGGTCGGGCTTGATAACGGCGTTAGAACCTACACGGTCGGGCTTGATAACGGTGTTAGAACCTACACGGTCAGGCTTGATAACGGTGTTAGAACTTACATGGTCGGGCTTGATAACAGTGTAAGAACCTACACGGTCAGGCTTGATAACGGTGTTAGAACCTACACGGTCAGGCTTGATAACGGTGTTAGAACCTACACGGTCGGGCTTGATAACGGTGTAAGAACCTACACCGAAACGTCGCTCTTAATTGTAATAAAGAAGTTATTCATCCATAAATCCTATCCTTACTTAATAAAGTGTGTTAGTGATCAATTTTCTAAACAATTTATAAAATTAATTCTTCAACAACTAATAACAAATAATACTGGTGCAGTGAAAGGAATCCATTACACATCTTCCATCACAAATAACAAGACATGAAGGCTCAACAGACATTACACAGAATGCACTACCAGGAACTCTACAGAGCTCAACATCAGGTTAGGATTATGTACAAACTGGTTGCTACAGTAACCATTCTAAGGCTTCAGTAAGACTATAGGCACTTAAGGAAGTTATAACTATATATCTGAGATCACAACTAAAGTCTAGAAGAAGTACAAAGGAAACAACCACAAAAAACAAGGTAATCATGTATTCAATAACAGTTGTGTTTCCATGGTAACACTTTCTTGTTTTATTGACAGCTCTCCCCTAAATTTCCGAAATGAAATATATACATACTGCTTTAACTGAAACATGTGTTTTAATTAATAAATTATATAAGGTTCCTATGTAATCGACCCCAAAATAGTTTCTATTTAATATCTTGCCTCCAGACATATTTACCAATAAAATAAATGTAAAATAAGACACTATCTCAATCAGGCCAAACTTTGACTTTTGATATTTCAGATGATGGAAGCCAATGGTAAACTTTATATTCATATTTACATTTGAGACGAGAGGAGAGGATGCTTCAGTGAGATACAATGTATCAACATCACATGAAACAGGGGTAGACATGGCCACCAGTCCATTAGTCTGAGACTAGTGAAAATGTAGAAGGACTAGTTGTTTTTGTTGTCATCGAAAAACTAGGTACATTACATGAACCAATAGTCTGAAACTAACAGTGGACTAGTAAGATATGACCAACTGTGTCTCCCTCTGTTAAACAGCCTTTACGGCCAAACTCCAAACAAAGGCCAGGGATAGTAGTATTTCTTGTTAACATTTTCTATGGAATGTCTGCAACTGTTCCCACAGTTGATAAATCTGATAACCTGCTTCACACAATCAACATCTGAATGGAAGCAATTGATGGCAAGGATATGAGAAAATATCTTACATTTTCATTGAGGTAAAGATTTCATTGCAAGTATATAAGGCCTTTTCTCAAGCATTCCAATTGAAAGTGCATGAAGTTGGGACAGTTTGCAGCAAGGTGAAAAGTAGGTAGGGTTTAAATATCAACAACAAAATGTCATCTTGCTCTAGGTGGATAAATGTGACAACACTCCTCTAAGGGTACATCTGTGATTTCCTTATTCTAGGGGAATATCTGTGATTTCATCATTCTAGGGGAATATCTGTGATTTCAGCATGGATTGATGCATGTTGGTGACAATCATGCGCAGGTCCTTGCTCCGCTGGGCCTCCTCCTCAAGATGGCGGAAGTGGTTGACTCGATTTGCCTTAGCACTCTGGGCCTGCTTCATCTGGGAACTCGACATGGAGTCTTCCTCATCTAGCTGAGCTGCGTATGCATCAGCTCGGGCCTGGCATCGCTGAACTTTGATTTGCTGGAAAATACACAAAAATGAGTTACAATGTCTGAATGAGTGAATGCTGTCAACAATATTTCCATTTCAGGTACTTCTTACAACAGGTATTGATTATTGAGACTATTCAACACAGGATTCTCCACAGAGTTAAAATGTCTGAAATACAGATGTATTGGTGGATCTAACGTAAATACATAGAGGAGAAGTCATTAGAATCTGTTCATCCTGGAAGTAGAACGTGCCTTTAACATTCAAGCGATTTCTTAAACCATGTAATAGCTGATGCATCATTTCTCTATAGCTTTACATAATGACTATGTTTGCATTAGTTTAACTTGTTTATAATGCATGTTTAGAAAGACAAGTGAATTCCTCAGAATCAACAGCAACAACAAACATCATAATGGTTTAATACAGCATGTACTGAGATGCCTGAATCCACCTCACCTGTCTCCTGAGCGAGATGGCCTCGACCTCCTTATGATGCTGTTTCTGCAAAGCCTCCCGGTGTTCCCGCCTGTTCCTCAGTGCCGAGATGCGCTGTTCTTCCCTAGTGGCCTCAACCTGCTGGTTCTTCTCGATCCTCTGTCTCAACTCCACGCTGACCTTTTTCTTGGCTTCCCGCTGATTTGCGATCATCTTTTGTTCCTGCAGCTGGCGGTCGCGCTCACGGGTCAGCTGTTCCAGGATGCGGTGATGGTGCTGGTCCTGCATGGCCAGCTTCATGCTGTTCTCCTCCGCCAGACGCGTCTGCCAGTCGCCTCGTCGCTTAATGATCTGCTGGCGTCTGTGGATAACATGGGAATGAGTCGGTGTTGTCAACCCTGGGGCAGGGCAGAAATAAGCACTAGCCAACTGGCCCGGACGAGTTTTGTTCATGTTAACAGTATCCTATGGGCTATTAGGTGGGGTGAGGTGAGGTGAGGTGAAATGGGGTTGACCAAAGCGTCCAAGATTATTGCACTTATATAGCGACATGCATACATGTGTGTATGTGTGTGGCTGCATGTACTAGGCCGAGTATTGCCGATTTTATAGTGAAAGGCCAGTGAGATACCATGCCGCAGTTTAACATGGATACACCACTCACAGTATACTGTCTCCAGGCCGACCATTCCTTGTTATATCCCTAGTAATGCCGAGCACCAGACAGGGTAACAACAAGTACCATCTTTTCTTTTGGTATGACGAGGCCAGGGATCATACCCCAGACCTTCCGCTCTCTGGGCGGTTGAAGGGTTTCTCGTGCTTTACGGCACAAATTTCAAATTGGCGACTACGCCTCGAAACATATTTTGACAAATTCTCGATTACAAGTTTGAAACCTAATCAAAAGAACAATCTGGCATGGCTAATAGATGGTCTCGATTGTATGGATTCAGTCGTTAAACCCGTAACTATCGTTCGAAATACCCCGTGTTAAAGATTTCGAGGTTGCATGATTAGAAATCACATTCCGACTATCACTTTCATAATCTGGTAAGCGACGCTCTGATTGGTCGGATGAAAGGTCGTTCTGACGTTACCCCTAGTTTAGTTTAGCGGTAGCGAGTACTAAGGTCTGATTTTAATGAGATTGACCTCTGCAAAATATATTAACAAAAACATAATCTCTGTGAACATGTTACCTGAATTCCCGCCTAGCTACAGTTATGTCATGCTCAGTCATTATCCTGTATCCTAGGGAACTGGCCACGCCCTCCCCATCCATGGGGACACTGCCAACTTTAGTGCTGGGAGGTTTGGGCATCTTCAACAGCAGCTCCACAGAGTTTGAGTAGTCTCCCCTTGCCTGGGGATCCACATACTTGAACACTGGGCTTCTCCACTCCACTGTGGAAGGTGAAAATATTTCAGTGTAAATTATTTGTTTTTTTAGTTTGGACTCTGTACTCAGCAGTTTTCCAGCTATATAACAGCGGCCTGTAAATAATCAAGTCTGGACCAGACAAACCAGTCTTTGACATAATGAGAAACAATCAATGCTGTCTGGGCATGCTATCAACCAAGTCTCCAAGCCTGACAATCTGATCTGTTATGTCGTCTTGTATAACAATCACAGGTTTTAACCCAGGATCCCTACAGGGACATGGTAAATCGAAATAATGTTGCTGTTTACAGGCAATATCTAAATTCTAATACCTAACATCTAATACTGAAAAAGTGAAAGTGTTAAACTTGCATTCTTGTTGCTTTTGTTGTAGTTATTGCAGAAGCAGATTAGACAGAGGTCATATGTAACACATTACCTGAAAGAACATTAACATTAAACCACCATAGGTCGAGTTACTCAGCATAAATAACAAATGAAAATTAGGTACAGTTGTTTGTTTTAAAACAAAAATACAAATAATCTTAAAAAGAAACAAGTTTTAAAACACCCATTCATATTAAGGGTATCCTTGAAACGAAGAGATCATAACCCTACAACTGCTGTTTAGCTACCAGAATTACCATATAAGTACTTGAGTGCTTAGGTCTCTAAGATCCTGGAGCTTCATACCCTAGTAGCCATGGCCACCTTGTTCTAACAATGTGTATGAGATGATACACCTACACTATACAAATAATTACTCTTGACGAGGTCTATATGCGAAAACAAGAATCCGAGGACCCGACCCGTGAGGCGGTCTGACCAGACCGAGGCTGAACTTGCTGAAGGAGTCGGCTCCAATGTCGGATTCGTTTGTTATACCAAAATTCACTTTAAGGCTTATGAAGTTTTTAAACCGTCCTCTAATTCATTACAGTAACTTAGCTGCAAACCATGAAATATTCGTACCAGACGCCATCTTGTTTTCTAGCAGACGAGTCAATATTCATCACATGACAGGTCCAAACTGATCATGTGACGAGTCAATAATCGAGGTCAGTGTCAGTCACATGATTTGGGGGTCTACATTGAAATGTATTATTTCATCACGTGATAGGGATTAACCAATGGAATTGCAAGATTCTAAATAGAGGTACATGTATAACAATTTTACTTGATACACCTACACTTTTCTGAGGCTGCCAATTAGTGATAACTAACTAAGTGCTGAGTTGTGATCTTAACGCTCAACATGTACAATCAAATATTTCAAAACTACAAAGTACGTGGGACTTGAACTCACATTTCAGAGGATAACTGTGTTTATCAGTCTTAAGGGCAGACACGCTACACATGTCCTAGTAGGACTGAGATGAATTAAATGCAGTTTTAACTCTGTTATATCTCTGGACTTTGACCTACTGAATAAACTTTTTACGGACCCTTTTAGCAAATTTTGATTTTCATCACATATTTGTGCAAAATAAATACAGTTTAAGTATATTTACTTGCATGAAATGGGAAATAAGACAATTATACCCACATTTCCTTGGTGTATCGGTCAATACATACAATTTTCAGAGTGAAACCTCCTTGGCTTCACCTCGGAGGTTCCACTACCAAAGGTTTAGGCATATTGACCGATATGCCTTGGAAAGTGTGGCTATGACTATAACATACATCCATGCTTCAACATAGACTTATGATAGTTGTATGGTGAGACCGTCGTTCCACAAAATGATCGTAGAGCTACGACTGTCCATACTGCCATACTTTAACATAGATTTATGATAATTATAGCTCTAGATACGCTGTTGAGTGGGACCCTGAAGGCTGTTCAGCCAAGTGGTCGACTACTACTTTCATAACTACCATACCTTAACATAGACTCACAATAGTGATAGGACTAAGATCGTTTTGTGGAACACGGCTCTCCACACCCAGCAATCATAAAACAGATGTTTCACCTAGAATCTGTTTATGGGAACTAACCTGAGTTGATGGCCGCATTCCTCTGATCCCGAGCTTCCAGTGGAGCCTGCAGAGCTGTCTCTCTGAAAGGTCCGCTTGCAGACTTGGCCTTCCTCCCTCCAGGACTGGGATCCCGTTTCCAGTACCTCCATGGAGGCCGTCTGCCGACTGGTGGCGTCTTCCTGAACAGCAGACTCGAGTCGATGTTGACACCAACGTCCCTTTCTCGCAGTCTTTCTCGTTCCAGGTCCTCTCTCTCCCTCATTAGAAGACGTCTCTCCTGCTCACACTCTCGCCTCTTCCTCTCAAGCTTCTCCCTCTCCTCGCTCAAGTCCGGCGATGTTGCGTACCCACTGTCGGCATCACCAAGATCAAAATCCTCCAAGCGGACATCATTGTTACGGAAATAGGCTTCTTGGACAGAATCGTCAAAGGAAACAGACTTCCTGCAAGAGTTTGCAAACTGCTTCTCACGCTTCTTCAGCAACCTCTTCCTCCGGTTCACTTTCTCAATCTCCCGCTCATCCAACTCCACTTTCTCCTCCTTCTCATCTGACAGCTCGTTGAGCTGAGACGAGACTTTATCCTGCAGCTCCTTGCGTGTCATGTTCGTTCCAGGAATAACAGCATCCATGTCCTCACTTTTCACAGCTGCCTTGGCCTTCTGGCGCCTCGCCTGATGCACGACCGGATATGTGGGAACGTAAGGAGGGCATCGGTACAGGCCTCGGTCCATAAACACCGGCTCTGTGTCCACGACGAGGGGGTTTGCTGGGGGGAATTCTGGTGGGTAGGCAACAGGTCCGGACCCAGGGTATCCCGGGAGTGAGTCCTGGGGGTAGTTCTCTTCCTTCTGGAGGGTCTCCCGGGCATCTCGAGGCATCTTCAGCTCCAGCGCCAGACGCTCGTACACTGGTTCCGGGATCCAGACTGCCTGGTCCTCCAGGACTTTCTCTGTCTTGCCATTGCTGAATGTAACTGTCATCTGGCTGTCATCAGGCCCTGAAATATGGAGAGAGAGTGAGTAAGTGGACGTGCGTGAGTGAGTGAGTGAGTGAGTGAGTGAGTGAGTGAGTGAGTGAGTGAGTGAGTGAGTGAGTGAGTGAGTGAGTGAGTGAGTGAGTGAGTGAGTGAGTTTACACAGCCATGAACGGTACTTCAGTCATCAAAGGGATATTAATTTTTTGGAACAAATATATTTTATTGATAGAACCCATTTGGTTCAAATCCTGCACCAAAGTCTAAAAAGGACTAACTAGTGTCCAGTGTATGATTACTTTGCTGTTATAAAACATGAGAACAAATTATTTCTTTCCAGCTTTTCCAGGAACAGATGATTTCGTAAAAAAAAACCAAGCCCCTACTAGACTATCAAATGGTCGGCACCTAATGTCATGTTGCAAATGTCAATCTATTCACTGTTGCTGTTATACAGATTCATTATTTGGACCTAGAGTCTTAGGTGAGAAAACAAAACATTCGTAATTTTATTAAATTTTAATTTTGTCAATTTCATCATACTGTATTAGCCATATTAAGATCAACTTTAAGAGTAATTTGTAATTAATCGTTGTCAGTTCCGACTAATTAGACCCGATTAGATTAATAAGCGACCCGCTCTAATAAGCGCCCATGGCGATATTTGCTGAAATGTTGTCTAGTGAAAAATCCCAATTAGCACCCCTTCCGATTGATCAATGTACACAAGTTTTATTTATTCGCGTATAATACACACTCGTGTGTTATATGCACCCTTAGTTATGGGCAATTAAATTCTGGAAAAATATGTCTGTCGTACATAAACATTTCAGGCTGTCAGCATAAACCACGAAATTTATCTTTCAACTCTTTTTTTTTCCACCAAAATAATATTCTAATAAGAGCCCCCTATTCCTAATTTTGAATGGCATGTGTTCAATAATATGTTGGACAAGAACTTGGACTTAAGTCAAGACCTAACTATAGGGAATCAAGCATGTTCATGAAGACTGTGGGTTTCCAGAAGCAATAAATAAAACCCCAGGTTATTCTACATTACATTTCAAGCTAAAAGCTCCAGATGTTTAAACCATGTAGCAAGATGACATAAAAACCATCAGAGTAGGTTTTCATCTTGTTGGTAAAGGATGAGCACAAACTCCATCCTCAGTAACGTTTTGTCTACCCCCATTTTCAGTTACTCGCTAAAGTAATGGGATTTGTTGTTTTGTTTGTTTGTTGTTTATCGCCGCACTCAGCAAATATCAGCTATATGATAGCAGTCTGGAAATATTCGAGTCTGGACCAGACAATCCAGTGGTTGATATCATGAGCATCGATCCACACAAATGGGACACGATGACATGCATCAACCAAGTCAGGGAATCTGACCACCCGATCCCGTTAGTCGCCTAATCAGATTTGAGGGGACTTTCTCACAGCACAAGTATCAGTAATAAATGTTTCAATTTTAGTGTTCAAACTTACTGGAAAGTAATTCATGTTTGTTTAAAGGTGGCACCCGTGGAAGTAAAGGATGAAGCTGTCAGATTCTCAATGTATATCATGGTATAGGAACTGATTTGATAGGAAATTTCAAGATTTAATGATATTAAACCATGCAAATGTCTGAGATATATCAGCCTATTTTTCCAACAGCCATGGTATTAGATGCTGCTATATTAGCATCATCAAACAAATATGGCAGATAGGTATCAGGAGCTAAATAATCTGCCAATTTCTTTCATTATGTAGGGGCACAGGTGGGCCAGTCGTCTGAGACGCCGTGATTCGCTGTGCAGAGGTGCGTCCCTTTGGCATGCCAGTAACCTATGATTGTGGGTTCGAATCCCTGTTTGCCCCGATTAGGTTTCTAGATTTGTAAGCACCATACCCGTGCTCATGGGTTTCACCAAAGTGGTAAACATCTGAGACCTGCATCTCTTCGGGCTTTCCTCCCACATTAAGCAGACACGCCGTGATACAACTGGAATAATGTTATAAGCGATGTTAAACCCAACTCACTCACTCACTCTTTCATCATGTTCTAGGTTGTGACTTTTCAATTTATATTTTCCATTAAAAAGTCTGACCACACCCGGATTAACTTCTACTAGCAGAACTTGTTACTTAAATCACCCTCTGACTGACGTACCCCAGGAAGGAATAGGTTCTAAATGATATTTCCACATGACACAGTTCCAGCTTGAACAAATAGACAAAGAACAATGTTCCATCACAGTGACCAATAATAACAACAAAACCTGCACCAATGATCAATAACTCCAGCTAAATGTTGAACACAATGCTTTGGTATCATAGTAACATGTCAAACAAAACACAACTAAGTTAAATAAAGAGGTAATTGTATAAGTTAAATCATGGCTACTTCAGAACAAATTCATGAGTGTTAAAAAAAATTAAAATATTATTGAAATTATTGCGTGAAGAGCTTGTTTGATGGTTCAGCACATAGTTAGCTGTCACTGTGTTTACTGTATCCAAGTGTCCAAACATCGCCTGTGAGTGACGGAATCAATATATCTTCAAACAGCCTGCTACAGCATGGTGACACACACACTGTCTCCAGTGTAGCTCTGTGGGTTAAGCTTTACGTTAAGCTCCAGGAGCTATTTTACAACCCAAAGAAGTTTACAAACCTTGATTATAAACTATATTTTGATTCAATATTATTGGGTGAAATGAGGATATTGTTGTCGAGACACTAAACACTGGTATTTTCAGCATTGTTTTTTTAAATTAACCTAGAAGACCAAGATTTTATTTGATATTTGGTCTAATCTTAAAGTAAGTTGAAGCACATACACAAAAAGATGCTTAAAAGCTTGATCATTTAAACAAACATTAAATACAATATTCTGTTACATGAAACTATTTGTATGAAATCTGTTAAAGTTATAAGTGAGATTGGTCTTTGGACTGTATGATATTTTGCTGACTGCCCCCCCCCCCCATTTTATGTAAAAAGAATTCATGTCTCCCTCCCCTCCCTATAATACATTACTTGTCCTTAAATAATGTTCAAATTTATAAAATATTTCTTTGTAACTGTGTCATTTTTTCATACCCTGACCTCATTGTTGTGATAAGATTTTGACCCACATACCCTCTTTCGCTGTCATTTTGTCATGAACCACACACCCCACCCCCACCCCTTAAAACCTCACCAGTCCCCCCTCCCCTATAATAAAAGACCAGTCCCATGCAATATAAGTGGATGGTCATATCAAGAACAAAAAGTTTTTTGTTTTAATCGGACAAACACTGTCCTGCTCGACCTTGTCAGTAATTTAGATCTACTCTTGGTCCAAGACATGCAACAGACAGCTTCATTTACCATCTCATTAAGCTGAAGTCATACATCACAAGGAAACAAATTAATTCTTTGACTTGTATCTATGCTGGCAGGATTCAAATAGCAGGATGCAAATCTCAGAAAATTAATTGACTCAGGCTGAGATTCCTTCCAGCGTGGAGACAGAGCAGCAAGCAACCCAGCAGACGTCTTCATTACTACTTCATTTGTTTGTCACTGGTCTGATTAAAGGTGAACACGACGCCGATTTCCTGATCTACAATCACAGCCTGGTGTACAGTTCCCATAGCAACATGGAGGAGATCGTTGCTTTCATTCGTGACCAACTCGTGTTATTTCGGGACAAGCTGAATAGCGACTCGTGCTCCACTCGTGGCCATTTTTGCGACTGGGTTCCATCTCAGAGCAAACAGGCATTGTTAAAAGAACTGTCAACTCGTTGTGTAATGATTCACGTATATTTCCCATCACGTCATATATATTCCAGATGCTATTTGAAACACATTAGAACTTACGGTTGGTTGGTTGGTTGGTTGTTTTATGCCGCACTCAGCAATATTCCAACTATATGACGGCGGTCTGTAAATAATCGAGTCTGGACCAGACAATCCAGCGATTAATATCATGAGCATCGATCCACGCAATTGGGATCGATGACATGCATCATCCAAGTCAGCGAGCCTGACCACCCGATCCCGTTAGTTGCCTTTTACGACAAGCATAGTCCCCTTTTACGGCAAGCATGGGTTGCTGAATACCTATTCTACCCCGGATCTTCACGGGTCAGAACTTACGGTATTTATACAGTATGATAGAACATGATTAAATGTATCTAGGGTATATTTTTACATGCAAGACATAAAAATTATCGTTATGTGAGATAGTCCAATCATATTTGGCACAGGAAAGTGGGCTTGATGTGGCGAGGGTGGAAACAAGACTTTGATAAATAGGCTAGTGGATGCTCTTGCCTCGGGAAGATAACCCCCGAACAAAACAGAATTCCAGTTATATCCCGACATGTCAGCATGAAGTAGCAGGAAACCCCAAAGCGATGTAACCTCAGATGTTAACCACTTTGGTGAAACCCACAAGCGTGGGTATGGTGCTGACAACCTAGACCCCATTTCAGGGCACACCAGGATTAGAATAGAGCTGGGATGGGTAACTCGGTTACTCGGGTCGGGTGGGTACTGAGTAGGACCCGGGTACCCACAGGACTACCCAGACCCGTTGTTAGTCACATGATATATTGTTTCATGACAAAAATTCACCATATAACTAACTACATGGTTACACGACAATTTTAAGTCTCTAATGTTCGCATTTCTTTCTGACTATGAACACGTTCCTTCTGACTTATATATGTTTGAACAAAGCTAAAACTTCAGTCAACTTCAGTGTATGCATGACCACATTGTTTTATACGTGTATCTAGATACATTCTGCCAGGGCTACTGTCAAATTATTCCCAATCAGACATTTTGTACCTATCCGGGTAGGGTCCGGTAAGAGGGGTGTGGGTACTCGGGTAGTAAATTTGGCCTAGATTAGAACCAATGATCATAGGTTTCTGGCACAAATTTTGGACGCAACTGTGCACAGCGAATTGCAGCGCCTTAGATGACCTAATTTTATTCCGTTTTACTAGCCCTGGAAACCTAAACTGGCATAAATGAAGGTTGTG